TTGAAGATTTTGAAGATTTTCAAATACCAAGCTTTATCTTCACTCTGTATAATTTTATTTTAATAACTTAATCTTAACTAATTCAAAAACAGCTATTAGTAATGTGGAAAAATAAAAGTGCATCTTTAAAGACATTTAAAAAATATTTTGCTGTTTTATCTTTTCTACACTTTGCGCTGTTTGAATTTCAGTTTAACAGGAACGTGTAAAGAAATGTTTAGAAAAGCTGCTCTGAGTTAGCCTCCATGACAAATGAGGAGAAATACATGAATAAATCCATATTGAAATTAAAACAAGATATATTTATCAGCCTCAAGCAACCAAAAACTGAATATAAAACGTTGGTTTACAATGTTATAATATTTAATATCAATGCAGAAACTTACTTCCAAATTCCAGTCTGGTTCCTCCACCGAACGTGTACCACAGTGATACAAACTCATTGAGCCGCCGTACAAAAACCTCTCACTGTAGAGAGACACGGCTCTCTGACTTTGACACAAACAAACTCAGCAAACACATTCCCAGTTTACCCAGTTTATCTAATAACTGGTTAAAGTGTCTAAAACATAAACTATGAATATGTATTTAATTTTTTTTTTGTGAAATAATCTTTATTAATTCATGTTACATTAAAATAATGAAATAAGATATATCAAAAGAACACCTCTCCAATAAATAATGACAAATGTAAATAATGATCATAAACATATGTTTATTGTAGATAATGATGAAAATAAAAGAAATAAAAGATAATATATTTGTTTAAATGTGTCCCACAGTGATGTTGATCTGTGTGGTAGTGAATTAGGGGGAATTCACTAAATATTCTGGAAGAAAATGTGTCCATCAAACTGAAACCAAAGCCTCATACAAATGAGCACTGACACATTCCTAATCAATACTCTGATAAAGTGATTGATCCATTGATAAACAGCATCATGAGAGGAATCCAAGTCCCTGTTGGAGTCAGTCAGAGCATTTCCATAGAGAGCCACTTTGCATCAGCAGCACCATGCTCCAGTGCTCTGGGAGAGTTTATAGTCCTGAGAGTTGAACACTGGATGACTGACAGCTGTCCTTCATGACAACAGAAGACACAGAAATCCTCCTCATCAAAAACATGACTTTGGTCTCGGTCCTCATCTGGACTCTCCTCTGCTGCTGCTTCACAGGTAAAGTCCAGAGAATCAAACTCCTCTCCTCTATGAACATCCGTCCCTCTGAAATGAAGCCCACAAAACCATGACGCTGCTTTATGTTTTTGTCTCTGTATCCTCAGAGTCCAGAGGCCAGGTCACAGTGACTCAGTCTGGAGCAGTGAGCTCTGCTCTGGGACGCTCCGTCACCATCACATGCAGGACCAGTCAGAACGTTTATAATAATGACTTTTTAGCCTGGTACCAACAGAAAGATGGAGAAGCTCCTAAACTGCTTATCTATAGAGCAACTTCTCGACAATCAGGGACTCCAGGTCGTTTTACAGGCAGTGGATCAAACTCTGACTTCACTCTGACCATCAGTGGAGTCCAGACTGAAGATGCAGCAGTTTACTACTGTCAGAGTGCTCATCTTATCAACAGTCAGTGGTTGTTCACACAGTGAAAAAGCGTCGTACAAAAACCTCCCTCAGTCAGACTGAACAGAAACTGAACTGACTGCTGCAGCTGGAAGCTACTGCAGAGACTGATACACTTCACTGAGGACACACACACACACACTCACACACACACACACACACACACACACACACACACACATTTCATGATTCAGATTTAAACAGAATATTTGCTCAATGTATGTGCAAAATCAATACATGTACAGTACACAGAAACAAACAATAGTAAATAATAATTATAAAAAAATACTAATTCATTTTCAAGTGTGGCACAAGATTGCCACACCATATCGCTCTGTGCCTTATTCCATTTACTGAAAAGAATTTGGTGGGATTTATCAGGCATTCAGGGTGTACTGACAGAGCAATCAGATGTAATATGTATGACACAATCCCATCAACTGTTCACGAAACTGTGGTGGGTAATGCATCACTGTGAGCTAAAATAATAAAGTCATATGAATCATTTACTGAGACACACTCTGTCTATATATGTTTAAGGATTTCAGACAGCAACACATACCAGCAGTTGATGACATTACTAATTTAACGAACTGATGCTTATTGATTATAAATGTTGTCAACTCATGTTAGTGAATCTGTACTCATTTTCATAGTCTCAGAAAAAAGAATTTCACAGACGTTGTGTATAACTTTATGCAGACGATATGCTGCTTTATACATCTAATCCTTAAAATCCTCTTTAAAGTGGTTCTTTATTCATGCAGAGGTTTGAGTTAGTTTCTAGGAACAGTTTGAGCCATCGTTGCATATGAACCCTCATAAAATTCAGACATGAATGATGACATAATTGAGTGATACTGAATTTATCTAAACATATTAACAAGGTTCAATAAAGCAGATAGAAGTGACAACATGGTGCTGCCTTGCTGCGGCAACATACAGCAGGAGCCGCGTGTGTGCGTATTTGTCTTGTATCTCGTCTGTCATGTTTGAACTAGCCGCGGGAATGTAAGAGTATCCCAATATTTTGGAATTAACATGGATCTTTTCAACACGGTGCTTATGAACATGCTTACTCTTGGGACTGTTGTGAACCATCGTCAAACCAACTCGTCTCACAGACTGCAGTACAGTTGGGACTTCCTCATCCAATGCAGTTCAGCCCCGTGGACCCTACGCGATGAAATTCCACCAGAGATTCGCAATCAACTCTCGCTATCACAAAGGAAAGTCCCAGGGTTATGGAAAGAATCAGTAGTGGTTCCAGTGGCAAAGGCGTACACTGGCGCTTGTATAATTCCTATTTTGCACTCGACACACATTGGAATTTTCCCTCCACCGACGCACGTCCTTAAATTAAGGAATGAATTTGCGCTCCAGGGGTGGTTCAGCGAAAAGAGGAGGCGTGTTCCGGCGCAAACGTTCCCTGGTGCTATTTTGCTGTTTCAGAAAACAATTCCGCCACAGACCAGGAAAAACCTAGTCTAAAGTCAGTGGCGCTTATTCAGATGCTATTTTAAGGGTGCAGACTTGAGGGGATGCGCCTGAGAGGCAGCAGCAACATCGCCACCCCGTCAGGACGGGCATTAATACTTTGCCGCATCCCGGACAGCTCCTGCTCCAGCATGTCAAACCTGGTTTGCTGCAGGAACGGGTGGTCCTCCCGGTGTGTAGTGGGTCTAGATCCTCTGCTCCTTGGTGTTGGCGCTGCTTCCTCCTCAGCTGGCCCTTGCGCACTGTTCGGCCCGTGCGCACTGCTCCCGAGGCCAGGGTCTTCTTCCTGCATAGCTGCGTTACATTGTTTAGATTTATTGTATGGCTGTGCTACATTTATTTCATGTCAATAATGACACTTCTCGGTATTTTACGGCCCTGACGAGAACGTCGGTCTCCACGGCTGTGAACCGCTCCTGTCGTGCGCCTGGCAAATCCGCCGTTATGATAGCAATCCGCCATAGAACAAGCGCGCCTGCTTTTAAAGGGAATGTGAGATGACGCTCTGATTGGTTTATTGCACGTTACGCCCAAACCACACCTATGACTAATGTAGCTACTTCAGACCAACCCATTTTAGATTTGCACCGGGCGCAAGAGTCATTTATCCCGCCGGCATAATAGCAACAGCGCCCGAGATCCGCCCACAAAGCTACTTGCGTTTTGCGTTTGATACTTGCGTTTCAGATCGGCAAGATAGGGCCCTTAGAGGGCAAGAAGACACAATGCACACCTGTGTTTTGTTGATTTCCCCTCAGCATTCAACTGTATGCAGCCCCATATCCTTGCTCACAGACTATTGCAATTTTCTGATATTGACTTTGGTACCATATGCTGGCTGGTTGATTTCCTAACTATGAGGTCACAGAGAACCCGGGTAAATAACACTTTATCTAAGGCCCTCACGTGCTCCACAGGGTCACCTCAGGGGTGTGTTCTGTCACCACTTTTATTTGTACTCTACACCAATGACTGTCAGAGTATGTTTGAACACTGCTTCAACTTTGATTAACGGCACAGCGTTGGATGTGGTAAGCCAATACAAATACTTGGGCACCATTTTAGATGATAAATTGAACTTTGACACCAATACAGACTATATATGTAAAAAGGCCAATCAGAGACTGTTTTTCTTAAGAAAGTTGAAGGGGTTTAATGTTGACAGATCACTTCTGAAAACATTTTATTCATCCTTTGTTGAGTCAATTTTAACTTTTGCTATGATCTGCTGGTTTGGCAATTTGAGTGTAATCAACAAAAACAGACTGTGTAAAATATATGTCAGAAAATAATTGGCACTGACCTCAACAGCATTGAGTATGTGTATGAGGCCAGAGCCACACAGAGGGCAATGGCCATTTTGGCTAACATCACTCACCCACTACACTCTGAGTTTTGCCTCCTTCCATCAGGAAGGAGGTATGACTCCTGAAAACGTGCCAGGTCTAACAGATACCTGAAATCATTTGTACCATCAGCTGTTGGGTTTCTCAACAAACTATAGGTCATCTTCCATCCCTGTCCATGTCACTGTACATTTTTTCACTTTTTATTTTTTATTTTCATTTATATGTATATATATATTGCACATGTGTATTTATGCTTTTATCTATTCATCATTTCATGTTTTTATGTGTTTTTGTGCGAATGTGTATGTGTTGGCTACCTGTTGTGAACCAAATTGCCCCTTGGGGACATTAAAGATATTTCAATTCAATTCAATTCAATTCAATTCAACAGAAGTAGAACATTTTGCCAAGTCATGAGAGTATTCAAGATAAACTTGTAAAAAAAGATTTATACAGTTGCTGTTATTGTGATGCAGTATAGATGAATCTTTCTAATGTTTCTAAACATATATGATATATGGGAAAGCTAATGACACGTAAGACATGATACATGTATAATGATCTCATGGAGACTGTTGATCTGATAACATTTTATTTATTTTTAAATTTTGACACAATCAACTGAAAAACAAGCGAGAGAGAGAGAGAGAGAGAGAGAGAGAGAGAGAGAGTCTTGCACAGTACAGACTGAGAGCAGTAGCAGAGTAAAACCAGTATCAGAGTCCCAGTGAGTCAGGTCAGAACTGGGAACACTGGTCTCTCCTCAGTGTCTCTGAGAGCGGAGTCTGGGAGCCCTGGGTGGCCTCACAGGTCACAGAGCCCACCTTCCTCCAGTGGTCTGCAGAGAGCCTCAGGGTGCTGCTCCAGCTGTAGTGGCCGTCCTTCAGCACCCCGGGGCTCCTGCTCTCCTCCCAGCTGCTGCTGCTGCTGCTGCCGTCCACCTTCCAGGACAGACTCCAGTCTGAGGGGAAGCCCTTGTTGGCCAGACACATGAGCGTGGCCTTCCCCTGCTGCAGCTCCTCACTGGAGGGGGGCAGCACCGTCAGGGTGGGACGGACATCACCTAGGAGACACGGATCAGCTTAGAGGACAGGGTCCACACAGCTGTCAATCAAGCAGCAGACACTTGGACACCTTTACTGTGTGAGAGTTGATTTTCTCCTTTAAGGAGTTTCTGTCAGATGTTTTTTCTGCTCCACCAGTCACTCACTCACACATTGTTTCACTTCCCTTTAAGAAGCCTCTCATGCATATCAAAAAATGAACTGACTACAATGAAATGTTCTTCATGTGGATTTCAATCATCATTACCAAACTGTAACTTTAAAACAATATATAACACTATAAAGGGATTTTGAAGATTTTCAAATACTTATCTTCAATCTATTAAATCTTGCATATCAGCACAGAGAGAATCATCATACAGAATGAGCTGAAATATATCAAACTACACTGGAAATAAAATATCAAAAACTGTATCATCAAAATCATCCAAAACCTGAACTATACATTACTTTAAAGTATTTAGTGGAAACATGAACAAACACAGAAAATGAACTGACTACAATCAAATAGTCTTCATGTGACTATGAAGAGCTTTTGAACATTTACTCATCTTTCTCTTCACTACGTTCAATTTTATCTTAATTCATTTAAAAACATTTATTTCTGACATGGAAAAGTAAAAGTGAATCTTAAAAATGAAACATTTGTACGAAAAGGTTTGCAGTTTTATCTTTTCTACACTTCAAGCTGTTTGAATTTCAGTTTGAAAGGAATGTGTAAAGAACTAAGAGTTAGCCTCCATGATGAAGGAGGACAAGTACAAATATGGATACTTCAAGTGTTCAAATTAAAACAAGATATATGTCTTCTTCAAACAACCAAAAACTGAATTTAAAACATTACTTTACAATATTGTATTCAGTATTTGTGCAGAAACTTACTTCCAACATCCAGTCTGGTTCCTCCACCAAAAGTCAACCACAGTGATACAAACTCATTGAGCCGCCGTACAAAAACCTCTCACTGTAGAGAGACACGGCTCTCTGACTTTGACACACTGAACTAAACCTACAAGCCCTCAAGATGAAACTTTACCATTCATATACATATCAAGTCATATTCTGTCTTGATATTTTAAATTCACTTCAATAAGGTTTTGAATTTATATTCCTGATGCAAAGTTTGTCTCTGAGTGAAAAGTATTCGTGCAGAAGATATACATTAATATGAAAAATCGAGAATTCTTCCTGAAATCCAGTATGTCTTGAAATTATAAAAGTTTTAATAATTTGACTTACTTCCAACATCCAGTCTGGTTCCTCCACCGAACGTGCACCACAGTGATACAAACTCATTGAGCTGCCGTACAAAAACCTCTCACTGTAGAGAGACACGGCTCTCTGACTTTGACAAAAACAAACTCAGCAAACACATTCCCAGTTTACCCAGTTCCTGTAATAATTGGTTAACGTTTCTAAAACATAAACAAGGAATATATATATGTATTTTGTGAAATATGCCTTCTTACTTTTTCTTTCATTAAAACATTGAAATAAGATATTTCTAAAGAAAAACTCTCTAGTCAATCCTGACAAATGTATGAAAACAAATTTAGATCATGATTAATATAAAATAAATACATATGAATTGAACTGAATCATTTTGTTTAAATGTGTCCATCAGTGATGTTGATCTGTTTGGTAGTGAATTAGGGAGAATTCATTAAATATTCTGGAAGAAAATGTGTCCATCAAACTGAAAGCAAAGCCTCATACAAATGAGCACTGACACATTCCTAATCAATACTCTGATAAAGTGATTGATCCATTGATAAACAGCATCATGAGAGGAATCCAAGTCCCTGTTGGAGTCAGTCAGAGCATTTCCATAGAGAGCCACTTTGCATCAGCAGCACCATGCTCCAGTGCTCTGGGAGAGTTTATAGTCCTGAGAGTTGAACACTGGATGACTGACAGCTGTCCTTCATGACAACAGAAGACACAGAAATCCTCCTCATCAAAAACATGACTTTGATCTCCGTCCTCATCTGGACTCTCCTCTGCTGCTGCTTCACAGGTAAAGTCCAGAGAATCAAACTCCTCTCCTCTATGAACATCCATCCCTCTGAAATGAAGCCCACAAAACCATGATGCTGCTTTATGTTTTTGTCTCTGTATCCTCAGAGTCCAGAGGCCAGGTCACAGTGACTCAGTCTGGAGCAGTGAGCTCTGCTCTGGGAGGCTCCGTCACCATCACATGTAGGATCAGTCAGGATGTATATTACAGTAGCCCATACCACCTTTTAGCCTGGTACCAACAGAGAGATGGAGAAACTCCTAAACTGCTCATTTATTTAACTAGCACTCGAGCATCAGGGATTCCAGGTCGTTTTACAGGCAGTGGATCAAACTCTGACTTCACTCTGACCATCAGTGGAGTCCAGACTGAAGATGCAGCAGTTTACTACTGTCAGAGTGCTCATTACATCAGCAGTCAGTGGTTGTTCACACAGTGAAAAAGCGTCGTACAAAAACCTCCCTCAGTCAGACTGAACAGAAACTGAACTGACTGCTGCAGCTGGAAGCTACTGCAGAGACTGATACACTTCACTGAGGACACACACACACACACACACACACACACACACACACACACACACACACACACACACACACGCTGTCTTGGTCATGACCTTTGACCTCTGCTTTATTCTGGATCACAGCTATTTCAACTACATCCAATTAACAAAGAGTATAAAGACTAATATCAGAAACGTTCATAATCAAAGATTAAGATTAATTCCTCAAATTTATTAAAGTATTAAAATAAATTGATAAATAAAGATTAACTGGAGACATAACAAGACAAAAGTGACCTACGTGATATAAATATATCAACATAAAAAAAGACATTTTCTTTTATATGCAACTAAAATACCACACAAAGACACTGAGACTGAAAGTTATTGGTTGACGTTGGAAATACCCAGACAATCTCTGTACAACATCCATCCACTAACTGTTGAGGAGCTTTCAATCATATCACATGATCTTATTCAGCTGGTGGAGTCTCGCAGTTCAATTCAATTCAATTCAATTCAATTTTATTTGTATAGCGCCAATTCATAACAGAAGTTATCTCAGGACACTTTTCAAATAGAGCAGGTCTAGACCGAACTCTTTAACATTAATTACAGAGACCCAACAGTACCACCATGAGCAAGCACTTGGGGACAAGGGCAAGGAAAAACTGCCTGTTAAAAGGCAGAAACCTAGGACAGATCCTCCGGCTCTAGGTGGGTGGTCGTCTGTCTCGACCAGTTGGGGTGAGAGAGAGAGAGAGAGAGAGAGAGAGAGAGAGAGAGAGAGGCAGAGAGAGAGCGAGAGACAGACAGACAGACAGACAGGTGCACAGCAACAACAGTATTGGCAATGGCAGTCAAGCAGGACCATGGCAGGAGGCTCCACCAGGATCCATGAGAACCTGCGAGATGAGAAAGCACATGAACTCCGGGGAAGAAGTGAAGTTAGTAACATGCATTAATGGGACATGAATGAGTGCATAAAGAAAGAGGAAGGGGAGGAGCTCAGTGCACCATGGGAAATCCCCCGATAGTCTAGGCCTATAGAAGCATAACTAAGGGATGGTTCAGGACTCACCTGATCCAGCCCTAACTATAAGCTTTATCAAAGAGGAATGTCTTAAGCCTACTCTTGAATGTGGTGAGGGTGTCTGCCTCCCCGAACCACAAATGGAAGCTGGTTCCACAGGAGAGGAGCTTGGTAACTGAAGGCTCTGGCTCCTGTTCTACTTTTAGAGACTATAGGAACCACAAGTAGCCCAGCATTCAGAGAACGTAGTGTTCTAGAGGGGTAATAGGGTACTATGAGCTCTTTAAGATATGAAGGGGCCTGACCATGAAGAGCTTTATAGGTGAGGAGGAGGATTTTAAATTTAATTCTACATTTTACAGGGAGCCAATGTTGAGAAGCTAGTACAGGAGAGATGTGATCTCTTTTTCTAGTTCCTGTCAGTACTCGTGCTGCAGCGTTCTGAATTATTGGAGCGTTTAAATGGACTTATTGGCGCAACCTGATAATAAAGAGTTGCAGTAATCCAGCCTTGAAGTAACAAATGCATGGATTAGTTTCTCTGCATCTGTCTGTGATAGGATGTGTCTAATTTTTCTAATATTACGTAAATGAAAGAAGGCGGTCCTAGAGGTCTGCTTTATGTGGGAGTTAAATGACAAATCCTGATCAAAGATAACTCCAAGATTCCTGACAGTGGTGCTAGAGGCCAAGTTAATGCCATCTAGAGTAACTATATCTTTAGACAGTGAGTCTCTAAGGTTTTTGGGGCCAAGAACAAGAATTTCGTTTTTTTCTGAGTTTAACATCAGAAAATTGCAGGTCATCCAGGATTTTATGTCCGTAAGACATGTTTGTAATTTAGATAATTGATTAATTTCATTGGGTTTGATTGATAGATATAACTGCGTATCATCTGCATAACAGTGAAAGTTAATGGAGTGATTACTAATAATGTTGCCTAAAGGGAGCATATATAAAGTAAATAGTATTGGTCCAAGTACAGAACCTTGTGGAACTCCATGACTAACTGTAGTATTTATTGAAGATTCATCGTTAACATGTACAAACTGCGAGTGATCTGATAAATATGACTTAAACCAGCTTAGTGCGGTTCCTTTAATGCCAATTTGATGCTCAAGTCTCCCCAAAAGAATATTATGGTCAATGGTGTCAAATGCAGCACTAAGATCTAATAGTACAAGTACAGAGACAAGTCCATTGTCAGAAGCAGTCAGAAGGTCATTATTAACTTTAACCAGAGCTGTCTCTGTGCTATGATGAACTCTAAATCCTGACTGAAAATCCTCAAATAAACTATTGTTATGTAGAAATTCACACAACTCTTTGGCGACTACTTTCTCCAGAATCTTAGAGAGGAAGGGGAGGTTAGAGATTGGTCTATAGTTGGCTAAAACCCCTGGGTCAAGAGTGGGCTTTTTAAGAAGGGGTTTAATTACAGCTACTTTAAAGGACTGTGGTACATATCCTGATGATAAAGAAAGATTAATCATATCCAGTAAAGAAGTGCCAATTAAGGGAACAACTTCTTTAAGCAGCCTAGTTGGGATCGGGTCTAATAGACAGGTTGATGGCTTCGATGAAGAAATGATTGAAGTTAACTGATGAAGATCAATAGCAGAGAAACAGTCTAAATATATATCTAAGTTTACATTAGCAAAAGTCCCTGAACTTGGAGAGCCACTGATAACTGTTGATGGCAGTTGGTGATTCATTTTCTCTCTAATAGTAATAATTTTATTATAGAAGAAGCTCAGGAAGTCGTTGCTACTTAAGTTTATGGGGATATGTGGCTCAATAGAGTTGTGACTCTCTGTCAACCTGGCTACAGTGCTGAAGAGGAACCTAGGGTTACTCTTATTTTCTTCTATTAGTGCTGAGTAATAGGCTCCTCTGGCATTACGGAGGGCCTTTCTATAAGTTTTAAGATTATCTTGCCAAATTGAGCAATATTCTGATAATTTGGAAGAGCACCATTTCCTTTCAGATTTCCTAGCTATTTGTTTTAACTGGCGGGTTTGGTGGTTGTACCACGGTGCTAGTCTCCTATGTTTTAATAATTTCCTTTTTATAGAAATTATTAAATCTTTATTAATTTGAAATCTTGAAACAATCGAGAGAGAGACAGAGACAGAGACAGAGAAAGACTGAGAGAGCAACGGTATTGCAGAGTGCAGACTGAGAGCAGTAGCAGAGTAAAACCAGTATCAGAGTCCCAGTGAGTCAGGTCAGAACTGGAAACACTGGTCTCTCCTCAGTGTCTCTGAGAGCGGAGTCTGGGAGCCCTGGGTGGCCTCACAGGTCACAGAGCCCACCTTCCTCCAGTGGTCTGCAGAGAGCCTCAGTGTGCTGCTCCAGCTGTAGTGGCCGTCCTTCAGCACCCCGGGGCTCCTGCTCTCCTCCCAGCTGATGCTGCTGCTGCTGCCGTCCACCTTCCAGGACAGACTCCAGTCTGAGGGGAAGCCCTTGTTGGCCAGACACATGAGCGTGGCCTTCCCCTGCTGCAGCTCCTCACTGGAGGGGGCAGCACCGTCAGGGTGGGACGGACATCACCTAGGAGACACCAATCAGCTTAGAGGACAGGGACCACACAGCTGTCAATCAAGCAGCAGACACTTGGACACCTTTACTGTGTGAGAGTTGATTTTCTCCTTTAAGGAGTTTCTGTCAGATGGTTTTCTGCTCCACCAGTCACTCACTCACACATTGTTTCACTTCCCTTTAAGAAGCCTCCCATGCATATCAAAAAATGAACTG